AAATTAAAACAGAAAAAAAAAGAGATAAGTCCTCCTGCATAAACACAGCCTCAGCCTCTGTGCTCAGCTTATTACTAAGCTTTCTGCAATTTAATGCAGACATCAATTTATTACCTAGCTGTGTTTGATTTTTATATTCCTTAAATTTTATTGTACCCAGAGCCAGGTCAACAGAAGATAAAGTCTAGCAAAACTCTACCAATTGCTTCTGTAATTTCATCTGTGCATTCCTTTTATAAGGCACTGCATGCCCAATTTTGATCTCCACGTATTGTCACAGTAATAAAAACTAAGCTAATGCCTCTTTACATACCTCCTGCACTGTACTGATGAAATGCAGAATGAGTTCATTGCAGTCCTAATAGAAAGCATTGCCTACGCCTTTTTCACCTGGGACTGACAATACACAAAGTCAAAAGAAAGACAAAGAAGGCTCTACATGGAATGATAGCCACTTCCCCCATTTCTGTCCCTTTCTCTAGAACATTGCTCTACTCCAGAAGGAAGGGACAGAAACATCAGCGTGCTCTCAGAGGAGAGGCTTCCCAGGGCTGTGATCTGCTGACATGAGGAGCATTATGATGCTCGGCAAACAGCTCTGACGACAGCAATACTACCCCACACTGCTCCTAGAATGTCCAGAACAATCCAGGTGATAATGATAAACTTCGTATGTGAGGAAGAGGGCCCTGACCCACCAGCCATTAGGCACATGAAAGAAACAATATAAATTTGATTTAAATGTGGGCTGCCTTCCAGAGGGCTTAATTATCTATTGTTTTGCCACATTCCCGTTATCCAACAGTCTCTTCTGTCTCAGACTGAAACCCAGCTACAGTATTTGTTTGGAACAAATTCAGGGAAATCTCCAAACTAGCCAGATCCCAGAGAGCTCACTTAAATAGAGAACAACAGTTACATAAATAGAAGTTTTCTAGGCTGGAAAATATTTTGGTTGTCTGTTAACTTGCAGAAATGCTGAAGAAAATTGAATCCAGTCTTTAAGCATCCACACCTACAGCATCTTCACGTGATGTGTCACCCAGTCCAGCTTCCTCAGTTTTCTCCGTGTTGTCTTTTCATCTAACCAATTATTTTTCTTTGCTGACATCACGAGCAGCAAAAAGTCCCCTCCAGTTCTTAGTTTCTGAGTGTTCATATATCAGCATTCTGCACTCTGGCTTTAAATGCTTATTTGTTTTTGGATAACTGAAAGATAAAGTATTCCTAAGGGTGTCATAGTAGCTGAGGCCAAATAGTAAAACATCCTGAGGTTTCAAATGAACACTCATGTCCAAGATGCCACTGTCAATTCTTTTTTTCAAATGGAAAAAAGTTGGTGTTTCACAATGAAGGTGAGACAACTAGTCAACAGAATGCAATTTTCACTTTTTAAGAAACTCATATTGAATTTGTTGACAATTTCATACATGTATGGAGTGCATTCTGATTTCTATAACCCTCCCTCTTTCTGATCTCCCTCCTACTCCCACCCCCATCTCTACAATTCTCTTTCCTTTTTAAGTGGAGGCCTGATACCAGGGATTCAAAAGTAAATTCAGAATTTCCCAATAGCCAAATATGCATGCAAATGACTAAAATACATATGATTCTCACTGTCAAAACCATGTTTATGATGGTCATTGAGACTGCACATTTGCTATATAGGCTTCCACTTAAATGTACAAAAATGGCACTTGAACTTTATAAATACGAAGGACAAAGGCACTGTCTAAGATTCCTTTTTTATTAAGTGCTCTAGAATGTACCACCTTCATTGACCCATCACTTAATGTTCATCTTATATTTGCTTTCCATTTGCTTTGTCTGCACCTCAAATATTGAAGGAATACATACAAACACAAACACAGAGAGAGAGAGAGAAAGAGAGAGAGAGAGAGAGAGAGAGAGAGAGATTTGAGACAAAGAGATTTTTACTAATGCAATAAGGAGAAAAACTGCTTTCTATGGTTGTTTCTTGACTATTGTCCCAAACTGAGCAGCATTCTCTGGGGAATAAATATGTGACCATTCCAGATCATCTCTATCAATACCTGGTCCTGTGAAGGAAGTTTTCAGGAGACCCTTGATGACCAGGATAAAACAGATGAAGAAATTATCTGGTTATAAGCCTCCTGCAGGCAAGCTCCAAGATTTTTCTAATTATTCTCTCCTCACCTCAACCAGAGCCTTGCATAGAGAAGCTCTATAAAAGCCTGTTGAATAAAAGAAATTATCCTGGACCCAATTTAAAAAAAAAAATCACTGCTCCACTATCCTACAGCAAGTACCCCGCGGACTAATACTATTAAGAGTATCGAGTACATTAAATTCCTGCTTTGTTGGGAGAAGAATGGGATTGGGAAGGGAAATAGAGGAGAAAAGGAATTTAAGAAAGGAATAAATGAATCTAAAAGAGAAACTGATAGACTGAGCACAGACTAGCACTAATATTATGCCAGGAGCTAAAGAGCCCAAGCAAACTGATTTTGGACATTTCTGCATCAGTAAATATTTTTAAATTAAAAATTAAAAAGCTTCATTGTCACACCAACACCGCTCTGAACAATGTAGCTCACACCCCTCTATAAAATCTTGGTTCTGGCCAGCAGCTGGCAAGTTGATCCCAGCAATTTTCTCTTTGCAGAAATAGCTTTGTGAGGGGAGAACTGACCCTCTTGGCTAATAAGCCCAAACCGCGCCAAACCTGGAGGGCTGAAATGGAAGGTACATTGTTGTGTTAAGTACTTTACAACAACTGTTTCTTCTCCTCTTGACACAGCCTGACTTCCTTAAAGAAGATTTGACTGGCCAGACAGCTGTGTTGACCCTTAAGCCTTCTTTGATTCGTGATTTTTTTTTAACAAACAGAATAGAAAAATCACAACCCAAATCCTTTCCTAAGCTCCAATACTTTTGAATTTGCTAGTGTCGTGCTTGAAGGATGTGGACATTTCAGTAATCTATAAGCAGAAAGATAAAGATTGAGCCCACACAATACAAAAACCTTTACATGAAAAGCAAGGGAGAAAAAAGCGAGCAATCACCAGGCGCTTTATCCAAAGGTGATACTTGAAGTTGTATAGACCAAATCTGCTTAATTACCTAAAAATCACACTTTCTGCTCAGATACTGCAGCCACAAACAGACAACCCACAACAGAGAGAGGCATATTTTCTTACAGAACTGTTTGCCATACTGATTACTTCCTGGAGTGCTCAGAAGGAGTTTGAAATTCTTTGTGTATTTCTATATTGTCCAATTCAAGTAAAATCAAGCACGTATCCTTTTTTTTAAGTTCTGAAAAAAATGTAAAGCATTTTCAAAACAACAGAAAGGCCTAGCATCCTCTTCACATGGGAATAAAATGTATTTTATGTGTGGCAAAGGAGCACTACTCAGCAGAGGGTGTGTGTATGTCTGTGTGTATATGTGTGTCTGTCTATCTGTCTGTCTTTCTGTATTAGGTCTAATCACTTGGTCAAGTTTTCAGTAAGCCTGACAGTCCAGACAATATGGAAGGAAACAAGAAATCTCTTGTTTTAGCCAGACTTCACCACATTTCCTTTCCCTGTGCATTTTTAATAACACAGGAGCTGCTTTTCACACACAAGCACACACACACACACACACACACACACACACACACACACCCTTCTCTCATTATCTCTATACAGTGCCTGCCACTTATTTATTCACTAGTGGCAAATACAGAATTTTCCTCCAAGCCTGCTCACATGCCCACACCATCAGTATACACCAGTCAGAGACATCTGCTCTGCCACTTTCCTTTCCCTTGGTGCCCCACATCCCTGAGAATCTACTGTCCCTATCAATTAGCTAGTTTTGCAAGAAAAAGCCTTTTCCTCTCCTTACTTCCCAGGCTCCTGTCCTTTGAGAATTAGGAAATCCTTCCAACCCACACTCCCTGAGGCAGTTCAGAAACCTAGATTTGAAAGGACTGGCTCTCAGTAACCTGCCTTCCAGTCCTCAGAACACAACAGAACACTGATGCATTGGGGGGGGGGGGGGGGGGAAAAGTGGGGGGGGGGGGGGGGGGGCATTGAACCTGCTACGTGACAGACCTCTTCCCAGAACAGGACTGGGTGAAGATGCAGAAGGGGCGTTCACATCTGGCTCCAACCTCTGACCTACCAACTCAGATGCCCCAGGGTTTTGGAGAAACCCTCAGGAGGCAATTAGCCCAAAAGGCAAACCGGCCTTCACTTAGCTGTGAGCTACAGCAGCGCCATTTCCGAGCCCAGTTTGTCCAAACCCAAGCGGGTGAGGCGTCCAGGGGACCGAAACTGTCTGATTCCTGCTGCCTCACCGCTGGGCACTAACGCAAGAGAGGCTTAAACAGTAAGACGGAGTGAAAAGCAGCAAAGAGTCGCTGGTCACTAGTGGTCCGTGGGGCACCCCAGTGAACCCAGGCCCGCAGAGAGTCACCTTTGAGAGCGGTCAGGTCGGGGTTAAGGGACCTGGAATAATTTAAAAATAAGCAAGCAAGCAAGCAAGCAAGAAAAGGCGCGATCGCGAGAGCTTCTGCGCGCTCCCCTTGCCCAAGGTGAACCGACCGGAGTGAATCCCCGCAGCCCGTGGCGTGTACAAGACACCGATGAACGTGAGTTTTACGTTTCTGTAGGAACCTCTTACACCTTGCAAAAGAGGATGAGGGTGCACACTGTCCCCGTGCACAGCGATGCCAGTGCGTGGGGGCGTTCCGGCGCGGCCACTTACTTCTCATAGTCGTACTTGCAGTAGAGCTTCTTGTCCCGGTAGAAGCAGGTGGTCTCCAGTGGCTCCTTGCAGGAGGCGCACTGCACGCACTGCTCGTGCCAGAAGCTGTCGTTGAGCCGCAGCAGAAACCTGTCCGAGATCACCCGCTGACAGCCCTCGCAGACAGACTTGGGGCTCACCGCTCTGCCTGCAGCGGCAACAGACGTTCGCTGGTGAGCCGCCCCGGCCAGTCAATTCCTCCAAACACCAAACGCGATCGCCCCAGTCCCACAGATGGCTCCCACAACCATCGCCCTGACCCTGCACCCCAGGAAGCCCTTCTGACCATCAACTAAACAGGGATTCGGAAAAATCAAATCAAGTGGCATCTCTAATAAACAAGGGCTAAGAGGCAAGTTTAATTTCTAGGGAGAGGGGGACTGGAATCAATAAATAGCCTTTAATTATTAGATCTATCCAGGTACCTGCGAGAGCATTCTCACGTCCTGTAAAATTAGATTACAAGTAAGTTTGTCCTCCAGGGGCTATCACTATGTGTAGTGATTTAATCATTAAACCACCATGTGCCTTTTGACTATTTTTTAATGAGTAAGACTAATCTGCTTGCAATTGTGTTCTTTTTAAAAAAGAAAATTAAAATTAAAATTAAAATTTTCTGTTTTCTTCCCCCAGAAAGGCCTGTGGGTAAGGAAAAATATTGTCTCGCCAGGCAAACTCAGTACTGCTCAAACTAGTGAACCCCAAACTGCTGTTTTGGTTGGCATGCAAATTGCAGGTGGCTTTTTATAATTAGGAAATGTCAAGATGGATGGGGGAAAATTCATAGCTGCTTGTGAAGCTATGGGAAGAATCCCCACAGGAGTAGGAGATGTCACGCGCGCTCAATGGCGCTGCATGGAGCGACAAACTCCTGAACTCAGTCTGGGAATCCGCTGGGTCCTACCCCTTAACCTTCTGACTTCTCGAAATTCTGTACCAGTGAGGGTGTACATACACGCCCTGGGGCAGGGGGCCGCTTGGTCGCCTTTGTTGATACTTTTCACAACCATTTGAAGAAGCCCTTGTCCCACCATAAACACACTCTTGCGCGTGAAGTCCCAAAGGGATGACCCTTCTTCATATCATCTCTTCGGTTTGGGGGCCAGCTGCCAGCTTGTAAGCTGGTCGTTATTAGGACTTGGGGGAAGTGGGGAAAGAAGGACTAGGAAAAGCAATGCAGTCTTCTTAATTTAAAAATTGTGTTTTCTTTCTGCCTGGTCTCGGCATCCCAGACCAGAACTCCGGCGCTAAAGCCAAAGTCGGCTGCGCAGGGCTCAGGACCAAACGCTACACCAGCTGTGCCCTTAAGTCTGCACGAGCTCTGGCCTGCGGGGTCTGGAGCAACTGGACAGACCCTGACATTTCCGAAAAAGGGGTTGATTAAGAGAACACCAACTGCGCGATTTCGTTTCATGTGAAGTGCTGGGAATGGGCGAGGAATTTCTGGACACGGTTTCTCCAACCAAAATGTATCAACCCACTCTAGCAGTTCTGATTGAAGGAAAGAGGGAAGAGGCTTAAATGACAAAAACGAAAATCCCTCCTGCCCCAAAAGAAAGCAGGAAAGGGGAGAGAGAGAGAGAGAGAGAGAGAGAGAGAGAGAGAGAGAGAAACTTTTCCCCAAACTTGAAAAGCATCAAAGGCAGACCCAAACTAAGAATCGTTGGCCTGAGTTCTGGAAGACCCACGGGTGTTACTCCTCCGGGTCCTTTGACTCTCTCTACAACGGCTGAAAGGGTTTGGATTGGAGGTAGGTAGGAGGAGATGGGGCTTGCCTGTCGGACCTAGGATCCGGCTTCAGTTAATTAAAGACGAGGCGCCCAAACTTGAAAAGCATCAAAGGCAGACCCAAACTAAGAATCGTTGGCCTGAGTTCTGGAAGACCCACGGGTGTTACTCCTCCGGGTCCTTTGACTCTCTCTACAACGGCTGAAAGGGTTTGGATTGGAGGTAGGTAGGAGGAGATGGGGCTTGCCTGTCGGACCTAGGATCCGGCTTCAGTTAATTAAAGACGAGGCGAGGGCCCCCGCCGTGCAAGCTAATCCCGGCGCAGCGCTGCCCACCTGCAGGGAAAAGCCTCTCTGCCATGCCCAAGACTGGAATTGGGGCTGGAGTTGGCGGGGGACAAGAAGCAGCCTCGAACTTGGGAGATTCGGCCTCGAACCTCTGATATTTTGGCCTTAGGCCTCGGAGAAAGCGGGGGCATTTATGAGCCGTCTACCAGCTCCCTGATTAAAAACCCAGCCCTGGGTATTTTTAATTACTTGCCACTCAAACGCCTATGAACATGCTCGCCCGCCCCTCAAGGCTTTGGGGAATTCGATGCCTTGCCGAGCTCGGTAGGCCTGGGGAGGCATGCTGGTTGCATTTGGATAGGGACTATTCAAAAGGACTGATGGACAGGGAAAGACAGGGAATGGGCTCCCCTGTGAACATGATAGTTCCCCCAATCGCCTAGTGGGTCCCAGAATCTTGAGCTCCGGGCCTGAGGGCAGAAGGATGCGCCCAGGACTCACACTGTGAACACTTACCCAGCAAGGAGGAGAAGGAGGCCGAGGTCTCAATCGCACTTTGAAAGTTCTCCTCCATCTTCAAGCCGTCCAACATGTTCAGGCCGAGCCAGGAGTATCTGTAGAGGGGAAAAATGAAGCGTCTGGCTTTCGTGTCTGGTGGGACTTGATGCTCTCAGCTGCTGCACTCCTGGGAAAGAACAGAATGAGTGTCCAGGGCGAAAAGAATGAGCCTGGAGGGTAGAGTCCAGCCAAGAGAAATGCGGGGAGGGAGGAGAGAGAGAAGTCACAGCGAACAGCTCTGACTGATCTGATTTCACTTGAAGTCAACGCGTTTTGTACTTAGGCCTCCGCCCCCCAACGGCGTTTCTCCTTCTCCTGACCCCCACCCCCACCCCTGTCCCCAGGTTTCGCACTCCAAGACCGACTCCGCCCCAAACTATACTAATGTTGGCCCTAGGGACTTCTCTACAGGAACTCGGCTACTGAGGACCATGGAGATAAAAAAGAGGGGGGTGTTCTTCTTTGTAGGACCGGGTCCGGGCACGCGGGACCTGCTGAGTCTGAAATCCCACGCCCGGATCTCTGTGTTTGGACCCTCACCTGCCTGAGGTTGGAGAGAGGCAGAGTGGGGAACTCGGAGAACGTCCCGCCTGCTTCCGTACTCCTGGCGCTTGGCTCTGCTTGGGGGCGCTCGGGAGTGGGCGTGCGGGGCGCGCGGGGAGGTCCTCCGGCCGGTCGGCCAGTGCCGGGAATGTCTGCAGGAGCAAAGGAGTCGCCTCGGGGAGGAGCCGCGACTGGCCCGGCTCACTCTTGGATGCATTTCAAATCAACTTTCAGAAACACGCCCGCCCGAGCCGGAGCCTCGGAACCCGCAGCCTTCCTTACCTGATGGGCAAGCTCGCTCCCAGCGTGCGGAGCAGAGAAGAGTTGCGGACTGCAACAAGGAGCTTCAGCAGGGGAAGGTGTTGTCCCCGAAGCTGCAGCCACAGCAGCCGCCCCGACTCCGGCGCGCTGGGGAGAGAGCAGGAGCGATCGCCGGCCCTGCTTCTGCTGCTCTGCACGCCCGGGCCCGGCCCGGACGTGGCCACGAGCGGCCGGCCTTCTCGGGACGTCCCGCCAGCCCGCGCCCTTTGCAGCAGGGAAGGGAAGGCCCAGGATGCTTCTCCAAGACGAACCCGCAAAGCGGAGGCCCAGGGTCCTGGGTGCAAGTGGGCCTTGCGTCTCCGAGGCGGCTCCCGCGGCTTCTGACAGCGGCCGCTGGCTGCGTGCGCGGCCCAGGGAAGGGGGTGGGGTGCGCAGGGCGGGGGACTGGGAGCGCGTCCCGTGGCGGGGCCCGCGGTGCTCGGTTTCCCGGCTTGGCTGCACGGCCCACTGCGTGGCTGCAGCCTGGTGAGCCCCTCGGCTGCGGTGACCTCCGGGCCAGGCAAAGTTTCCTCTCTCCACGTGGATCTGTTACCTGGGCGGATCTGCGTCTGAGTCTTCGCAGAGATTCCCGGCGCCACCTGGACTGCGCGCGGGCAGGATGGGTACCCGGGTCGCTATCGGATCTGTTCTGTAAGTGATAACTGACTGGCAGGGCGATCCTCACCTGGAGGCCCTGCGAAGCGCTTGAAGCTATTTTCCGTAGGTGAACTCCCTCACCAGGGCTCCTCATACCTTTATTCACACATAGTCTCAGCAAGTTTCCAAACTTTGTTTAAGCTTAAAAGCCATTCACCGTCTGAGACCAAAACTAATTCACTCCTGGGAAATTCAGATACTGTATAGGACCCAAGGCCAAACCTTGAATCTGGCTCCCTTCTCCTGGATGGATGCAGAACAAGAAGTCAGCTAAGAGGGCATTCTTAGAAGTTCCCGAGGGGAATTTTTCATTCCCTGTAGTGTTCGATTGCTATGAAGACCCTTTAGCCACTCTAGGGCCAGAAACAGGGTCTTATGTCTCTATTCCAAGAAGTGCCTGGGGCCAAGAAGCTCAATAAACAGATCATCGAGTTGGGTAGCTTTTATCGACCATTTATTTTGTGCCAAAATTGGTTACATAGTCAGCTCATTTCATCTTTACAATTTAAGCTGGAGATTATTTTCTCGATATTCTAGGTAAAGGAAATGGAGCACTTGTGTGTGACGTTCCTGCTTATCACCTGAATACCGTAGGAAGGTCCAATTGGATGGAATTCTCCAGGGCACCCTCAGTTCCTAATCTGAGAGGACCTGAGAGAGATTGCCAGGCACTGTGGCAAGAGCAAACTGAGCCCTGAGTGGAGAAGATGCCAGGCAGCAAGTGTTCTCTATTACCTTCATCGAGGAGAGGATCGCTTCCCACTTTCAAAGAAAACAGACAGCAAGTTGCTCCCCTTTGCTTTGGAGCAGTGACACCTCTTCTACACACACACACACACACACACACACACACACACACACACACA